GTCCCAGGTTCGATTCCGGTCAAGGGCATGTACCTTGGTTGCGGGCATATCCCCAGTAGGAGATGTGCAGGAGGCGGCTGATCGATGTTTCTCTCTCATCGATGTTTCTAACTCTCTATCTCTCTCCCTTCCTCTCTGTAAAAAAATCAATAAAATATATTAAAAAAAAATTTTTCATGCTGAGTCAAGGTCATTTTTATAAGCTTGTTGGGCCCTTTTGAAAGCCCTTTTGATGGTCTGGCCAGGATAAAGTGAGTAGGCACTCTTAGGCCACATATTATTACTTATCATCATTTTTAAAATAATGTTTTGTTTTGGTTTTTTTTGCCTGGCTGGTGTGGCTCAGTAGTTGTGTATCAACCTATGAACCAGGAGGTCACAGTTTGAGTCCTGGTCACGGCACATGCCCTGGTTGTGAGCTCAATTCCCAGTAGGGGGCGTGCAGGAGGCATCTGATCAATGATTCTCATCATTGATGTTTATATCTTCCTCTTCCTCTCTGAAATCAATAAAAAATATTTTTTAAAAATGTCTTTTTAAACTAATAATTAAATCATATGTGCCTGGAAGAGTACAGGAAGTAAATAAATATCATTTGTAATCCCACTAGTTAAAACTGACTACCGATAGTATTATTTATTCATTCTATATTCACTGGATATTTGCTAAGTATCTATTTTGTTCCAGGCACTGTGCTAAGTTTCGGGGGATACAGCAATACATATTTGGTATAATTTTTGTTTATTTTTAATATAGATTTCTGAGTATATAATATGCAGATTTACAAAAGTGGGATCCTAGTTTATATGCTATCTTGTATCCCAACATTTTCATGCATTATCTTTAAAACATGGTTTTAATTAATCAGCTGCCTAATACTCCATTTTATGGATGTGTTATGATTTCTTTAATGAGTCACCACCCTACACTTACCTCGCTTTTAAAATACCCCTTCTATGGCCCATTGAATATAACAGCATCAACTTCAAGGTGATTCCTGGACCTCCAGGGGGTATGAGTCAGAGCTGGGGTCTGGGTTTACTAGGGTGTTCACATGGACTGGCTTTCGCATGGGACTTTCAAGCAGTCAATTCCAAGGTCAGACCATAACACTTTCTCTGCAAACTGATGAGAGGGTTAGACCAGAGCAAGAACAAGGGGACCCAGAACTGGCCATCCAGGGGTCACTCCAACCTGGGGGGCAGCCAAGGAGAGCTGAACTTGGCTCTAAGCCACAGGAACCACCTAGAGCTGAAGATAATCATGGGAGAACTATGTTCAGTGGAGGGAAGGGAAATAAGTTAGGGAGGCCTCCCTCATCCTTCAGTTCTAGACTAAGCCAAGAAGTGCACTCTGAAGTGAATGGACTGCCTTCAGGTTTTTCCAGCTCCTGAGGCCTCACCCACGCTGGCAGTGGACTGGGTGAGCTGGGTTGTATTTTCTGACAGTGTGCCAGCTCCTGACTCCTCCTCCTGAGAATGAACTTGGGGCCCATGGATGGTGCTGTTTAGACATGTTGTGATGGGTCCAGAAGAAAAGGGCTTGTTGCCATGGCAGTCCTTATCATGAGCTGATGCTGGGTTAAGAGATTTAGACAGGTTATCTAAATCCTCACATTGTCAGCCCTGCCTGGAAAGGCAGCCTCATCCATTCATTCACTGAATTGATGAGTACGGATAGAGCACTGATGATTGTCTGAAACACCATAGGTACTGGGTTATAGTAACAGGTGAATCATATAGTCTGCTCCAGGCAGCTTGGTCTACTGTGAGGTTTTTGTTCCCATTTTTCAGCAGAGGAAACTGAGGTCTCAAGAGATCAAGAAGGTTGCCCTGCTCACCTAGCTGGCCCAGGCAGATCCCAAAGAGGAGTTGCATCCTGGGTGGCTCCAGGTCCTCCTGCACGTCCACACCCTCCCAGGCCCTGGAGGTCTGTTCCTTGAAATGCACACACTTTGCCCACTGCATCCTTTTAAGAGGCAAGCCTGACTCAAGTGGCCTGCGGTTCACCCTGATTCAGCATGACTTGTAGATAAGTCCTTCCCTGGATGATGAGAGGCAGTGCCCTCCAGGGCTGGGCTTGTACACTGACACTGCGTGGGGCCTCCCTCAGGTGTTTATAGGCACAGGCCCAGTAGTGGAGCCGTGAGACTCGGGGTGAAGCCAGGTGAACACAGGAGCTGCGCTGACCTTCTCAAAACTGGTTCCCACTGCCTCTTCTCGCACACTCTGACGTCCAATCCAGGCCCCGGGATCCAACCTGGAACACTCCCTGAGGTAAGGCTTCTCTTGGAATTGACCCACCTGTTCCTTTGTTGATATAAACAAGAGTTCTCCTGTACCAGGTAATTGCGGGGTGATGGTGCCACACTTGGAAATGCCTCAGACAGTGGCCATTTTTTTGAGTGTACTCATGGTCCCTCAACCCCCAATATGGTACTCACTCTGTTTTGGGGGTATCCAGGGGACATGTTGGATGGGAAATGCGGAAGAAGGCTCAGATCAGCCAGTCCAGGAAAACTCTTCATTCTGCCCCAAAGTTATTGCTGGTCTGAGCTTCCAGAAGGCTGCTCAGGCTCCTGTCCTGGCGTGGGAGTTGGGAGAGCTCCTCTCAGCTTGGGGTGCGAATCCCAGCCCCGGGCCCAAGCTGCATTGAGCCCATGGACGGGGTTTTCTTGGGGGAGAGCACTTTGGGCTTGCTGCCCCACACGCTTGCTTTGCTGGAACTGAGGGCAGACCACATGCGGGCCCCTGTCTGCTCTTTGGAGAGATGGCATTATTTCAACGTGGTAGCCAACAGGCCAACATTCCATCCAAAGCTGGCCCCAAGAACAAGGGCTATTCCTCTGGGGAAAGCTGCAAAGTGCGTCTCTTTCTTGCTCCCAGAAGCACTGGCTGTCACTTATTGTGGGCTTCGGAAGGGCAGGGACCAGGCTGGTGTGTTTACCTGTTTCCAGGCTCATGGAAGGTGTGCCATACAGATTTGAGTTGGCAAAGATGCCTCCTGAAGCAGGTGAGGGAATGCCAGCAGCCAGTGTGCTCCCAACAGGAGAGAGAGAGGAAGTGGGCAGGGGCCCTCCACCACTCGCCTTTGGTTAGGAAGCATTCAGACCTCAGGGTCCCAGCTGTGGGTCTGTGGCAGGAGAATCCAGTGGTTAGGGGCATGTGTTCTGAAATAAGGCAGATCCAGCCTCAAATCCACCCACCTTCACCGACTTAAGGAAGTCATCCACCACCTCCCTGACTCACTTCTTGGTTTCCCCATATCTGAGATGGGAGCACGAGAGCTGGCCTTGTAGGCAGAGTGAGGAGAAGTAAGATGCGTTGCTCCAGATTTGGTGCCCACAGACTACAAGCCATGTCAGCTGCTGGTAGCCTTAGGTGGGACCATCTGGAATCGTCACTATTCAGTCATTTTTGACCTACCAAATGGCAGTTTTTCATGGTGCAAACTGACATTATTATCTCTCTGGTTGCCTTTGTGCTGCTGTGTGGGACTGGGTTGTGCCAGGACCCCTGCTCAGCCTCCCCGAAGGAGTCAGGGCCTAACTCAGTGCCTGCTCTGGAGATGAAGGGGCCTATGCAATCACCTTCTTCAGCCCCTTTCTTGCCCGGTGGGGAGATGGACCTCCAAGAGGAAGGTTCTTGCCCAAAGATATACAACTTGCTGGACATGAACGTAGGCCCAGAATCTGACTCCTAATTCAGTTTTCTTTCCACTACCTTGGCCTGAACCTGCTGCCACATTTGGAGCTAGGGCTGGGGCCAAGTGGGCCAGCTAGCTACCTGCATGCGGTGCTAAGGCATCGTGTGACAAGGTGCAGGAAGATGGCACCTTCCAGAACTGCCCTGAGAGGCAGGCTGTGTGGGTCAGAAGAGTCTGTAGTCCCAGCTCTGACACTGAAGGGCTGGGTGGGCTTAATTTCCTCATCTGTACAATGGGCAATGATAGCATCAACTTCATGGGGGTGTTGTGGGGATGAAATGAGTACATATTTGTGAATCATATTGTAAAATAACATAATTTGTAAATATAACTTCCAAAAAAACTTTTTTTTAAATATTATAGAGCACTTAAAGAGTGCCCAGCATTTGGTAAGGGTCACTTTTGTGTTTGCTATTATTATTCTAAAGACATTTGGGGATTGGTATTGCCCGTAAGTGTGTGAGTTTGGACTGGTGCTGAGTTACTGAGAATAGAGAAGAGCTCTCTAGAATGGACCCCAAGACCCCCTTTTCCTCTACCCTATCCCCTCCTGCATCAGCTGTGGCTCTAAATCTTTAAGAGACAAACACTTATATTAGCAGCCTATGGGGACTGGGGTTAGTTGTCTTATTCATAAAGTATCCCAAGTTCCTAAACAATGTAGGGCACAGAGTAAAAGCATAGATTTCTCAAACATGTTAAATAAGTTTTAAGTAGATAATAACGTACACAGTGGGGGGCGGGGGGAATGCAGGCAATGGGAACAGGTATACAGAGGAGAGGTGATGTGCCTCCTAGGGCAGCTGCAGTTGCCCTGGACCTGTGCTGGCCCTCAGAGATCCAGATAGGTCACGGGGCCAGGTCTTCAGGTTCTGGGCAGGCCGGCCATCGGATGCAGCCTTTCCTGGATGAGCAGGAGGAGGTTATTCGATGACAATCTCGTCCCTGCTGCTCAGCTGAGAGCCATCTGCTCTGCAGCCAGCACTCCCTGAAGCTGGGGGTTCATCCCCTGAAGGGGACCCCAGGTGGCCTAGCATGGAGACCACTGTCACACACAGTCACCAAGTTACCTCGGGCCCTCCCTGCCCTCTTTGATCAAATGCTTTTTTTTTTCTGAAATGCAGCCATGTATAAAAATTATTCATTGTCATTATATCTCCAATAGCCCAACAGATTGCCAAACTTCCAAAAGCTGAAGGAATTGAGTCATCTGCTAATCCAAGCTCAGTCTTCAGTCCCTTTAGAATCACTTCTCTCTTGGACATCTTTAACCTGCTGATATATTTCCATCTGGCCAAGCATTTTTGTAGGCTGGGAGGTAAGTGAATAGAGCAATGCTTTCTATTTGGTCATCCCCCCTAGACTGTGTTTCAATGTCCCCAAGTTTAATTAACAGAACAGGGAAGTTGCCCTGAACTGAACTCAACACTTTGGAAGCTTATTTTTAATTTTTATTTTATTTTTTTGTACCTCTGGAGGACCCTCCCAGCCCGAGTGAGCTGATGGGAGTTTCTCTCTTCCCTTCCAGATGCTTCTCCCTCCCCCAGGGGTGGAGCCCCCACACTGGAGGCGGCTAGGAAGTCAGCCTCAGGCAACCTGGAGAGCAAGCCTGCAAAATCAAGGCTCCCCCCGCACACACACACACACACACTTTTTTCCTTTTTTCTAAGGTGACTTCCAGGCCTGCAGAGTTATAAAAAGTTCTTATGTGTCCTTTTCTGGCAGTTGGACAGCTGCAGAATGCCACTTGGCAAACACTTTTATCCAACCCAAGGCTTGGCATTTGATGGGAAAAAGCAGCTGAAGGTTATCACAGATTTGTCCTAGCAAGGTTTAAAATTCAACACAAAATGTGCTTTTCCAAATACCCCTTCCCTGAAGTGTCATGGACAGAGCGCTGCATAGCTCCATGGCAGGCATGTGTAGCATCATAGACAGACTCTTGGGAGGTAATAAGGGGGTTGAACCCCATGGGGAAGGAGGACAGGTCACCAATCTCAGCCTCCTCGCCCTTGGAGTGGGCACCCCCTGCCTGGGAGGATAGCTCAGCCCCATCTCAGGATGTGACTTCAGGGAACTCATCTTCTCTTTCTGCGCCTCCCCCAGGCCCCATGGCATCCCTCCCCGTCCTGCAGAAGGAGAGAGTGTTCAAGTCGGGAGCACAGGCCTATAGAATCCCTGCTCTGCTCTACCTGCCGCAGCAGAAGACTCTGCTGGCCTTCGCAGAAAGGCGCAAGAGCAAGAAGGACGAGGACGCAGAGCTGATTGTCCTGCGCAGGGGAAGCTATGATGAGTCCACCCACCAGGTCCAGGTAAGGCAGGATGAGGCTACACTAGCTCTGCCGGGAATACGGGGACTATGCCATTCTTAGATGGCTGGGGTCTGGGGGACAGAGGGAAAGGAGACATCGAAACCCAGGAGGGATTGAGGGCCCTACCATGGATGGGGCAGAGAAAGTGCCCCAAAGTGGTCACCCAGAAAATGTGGGTTCACTGGGACCAAGTCCAGTTGGCCTGGCGGTATCAGCTTCAGTGCATGATGGGACAAGTCCAGGGAAACCAATGCTCAGAAAGGTTGTCCTGTGTGATTGAGAACCTGAGGGAGGACTAGTTTAGAATTCCATCACTGGGGTTGTAGGCTTTGAGTAAACTTAACCTGGGGAGTGGGACCTGGGGAGGGTTGGAGTGATTGCTGTGTTCTAAAGTCCCAGCATGTAGATCAAGTAATTGATTTTGACAAAGACATCCAAGGCTGGCGTATCACATATTACTATTAGTATTATCATTACTTTGTGGTCATTATTACATAGCAGCTGTTCAGAGCATGGGGTTTGAAGCAGATGGACCTGGGTTCAAGTCCTGGCTCTATCAGTTAGAGGTATGGCCTTGGGCAACTCACCTTCCTTATCTAAGCCTTCCATTCTCCAGACATAAGTTGGAGCTAATGACACCTGTTCCCCAGGAGTTTAGGGGTTAGGCTCTTGGCACAGTGTCTGCCTTTAGAAGGCTCACTGGGGGACAGGCGTTAATGAATGGGGGTAGATGGCAGAACTGTTGCATATATGACATAGACTTTGGGATTATGGAAGCTCCATGCAAGTCCTAGTGTCATGTAGCAGCCCCCCCCCCCCACCCCCAGGCTGCATTAATAGAGTATGATGTATAGAAGATGCGAAGTGATTGTCATATTCTGTCCCACACAGGTCAGATTATTGTGTTATTACTAGGGCTTTACTTTTCAAGAATGGAAAGTTGGACTGGGCTGGTAGGAGGGAACCAGGATGAAGCTGGGAATGGCTCGTGCCCAAAGGACCTCTGCATCTGAGGTCTAGCCCACCATACATGTTGGTGGGAATGGAGGCAGCAGACATTCAGGAGGAGTGGGCTGCTATGCAAGGGGTGAGGCGGAGCCTGGCTCCCACTGCTCTGGGAGGTGATGTGAGTTGATCAAGTGGTGGATGAACACTTCCTCCATGACCTTTGACCTAACCCCATGAGACCCCCTCTACCCCGCCCCACCGAGAGTGCAGCTCTGTCACTGGTCATTTCAAGGCAGTGCTTGTCTTTCTTCCTCTCCTCACATTCAGTGGCACGCTCAGGAAGAGGTGGCCCAAGCCCAGCTGGAGGGCCACCGGTCCATGAATCCAAGTCCCTTTTATGACGAGAACACGGGGACCCTCTTCCTCTTCTTCATTGCCATCCCCAGGCAGGTCTCTGAGCAACACCAACTCCACACCAAGGTCAATGTGACACGGCTGTGCCAAGTCACCAGCACCGACCACGGCAGGTCCTGGAGCCCCACCAGAGACCTCACAGACTCTGCCATTGGCTCGGCCCACGGGGAATGGGCCACCTTTGCGGTGGGCCCGGGGCACTGTCTGCAGCTGCACAACGAGGCGCAGAGCCTGGTGGTGCCAGCCTACGCCTACCGGAAACTCCGTGCCCACGGGCGGCCCAGCCCCTCCGCTTTCTGCTTCATCAGCCACAACCACGGGCTCACATGGGAAAGAGGCAACTTTGTGGCCCCGGAAACCGTGGAGTGCCAAGTGGCTGAGGTCGGGGGTGCAAAACAGAGGATGATATATCTCAACGCTAGAAGCCCCCGTGGGGCCAGGATTCAGGCCGAGAGTGTCAATGACGGGCTTGATTTCAGGGGGGCCCAACTGGTCCAGAAGCTTGTGGAGCCTCCCCATGGCTGCCATGGGAGTGTGATCGCCTTCCCCAGCCCCAGAGCGGGGTCAGGCTCCACAGACAAGTGGCTGCTCTACACTCACCCTACTGACCCCCGGCAGAGAACCAACCTAGGTGCCTACCTCAATACACGGCCCCCAGCCTCTAACGCCTGGTCCCACCCAGCCCTGCTGGCTGAGGGCACCTGTGCCTACTCAGACCTTCAGAGCCTGGGTGTGGGCCCCGATGGCTCACCCCAGTTTGGGTGTCTGTACGAACATAATAACTACGAGGAGATCATCTTCCTCATGTTCACCCTGAAACAAGTCTTCCCAACTGAATTTTCGGCTCAGTGAGCCGGCCATGTGCTACCCCCTATTCTTGTCCCCCTGCTCATGCAAATACCCTATGATCCAGCAATTCCACTCGGAAGTATACATCCAAGAGAAATGCAAGCATATAGCTGCCAAATACACGGATGAGCATATTTACAGCAGCTTCATTCATAAGAGTCCTAAACTGGAAACAACCCAAAGGTCAATTGAAAACAGAATGGGTAACTAAACTGGGGACTATTGATGCAATGGAATATTACCCAATAATAAGAGGATCAACTACTGCTATACATAATAGTATGGTTGATTTTCAGATGGTATGTTGAGTGAAAGAAGCCAGACTCAAAAGAATACATTCTTTATAATTCTATGTACATGAAGTTCAAGAACAGGCAAAACCCAGTCTATGGTATATACAGCAAGACACTGGTGGAGGAATACTGTTCACTGCGAAGGGTCCTGGGAACATTCTAATGTTTGACCTGGTGCTGATCAGGAGGGTGCGTCTGTATGTAAAAATTCAATGAGTTGTACACACATGATTTGTGTACCTTACTGTATGCATGTTATACCTCAATAAAATATAAGAGTTGAACTGAATAGTGGATTTGCCCATTAAACCTCCAAATCAATATGTTACATTGGATTGTAAAACTTTGGAACGGAATTTTTTAAATAAACTTTTTTGGAGGAATAATGATAGATTTACAGAAAACTTGCAAAAATAGTATGGAGTGTTGCCATACATCCCACACCGAGTTTCTCCCAATGTTAGCATCTTACATAACTGGTGTATTAGTCAAAACTAAGAGATTAACATTGCTCCATTACTATTAACTGAACTCCAGAGTTTATTCGGATTTCACCAGTTTTTCCACTAATGTCCTTTTTCTGTCCTAGGATCCAATCCAGGATATATTTAGTGCATTGAGTAAAACTGAATTTTTACTATAATTTGTGTCCATAGAGATACACACATACCCAGAGATTGGTGCACAGCTACAACAGGCCCCTCCCCTTCACCCACCTTCCCCTAAAAACTACTTGTTGAACAAATAAATAAGCAAGCAAATGCCAAGAACATGTGCTTCAGGCCTGGACTGCTGGACTGCAAATGTCAGAAGTTCAGCCTCTAAAGCAGCGGTTCTCAACCTGTGGGTCGAGACCCCTTTGGCGGTCGAACAACCCTTTCACAGGGGTCGCCTAAGACCATCCTGCATATCAGATATTTACATTATGATTCATAACAGTAGCAACATTACAGTTATGAAGTAGCAACGAAAATAATTTTATGGTTGGGTCACAACATGAGGAACTGTATTTAAAGGTCCAGAAGGTTGAGAACCACTGCTCTAAAGACTCAAAAAGGTAACCCCCAGGTCAGTTACACCAGAGCTCCAGGTCTAGGCTGTGGCACATTGTCAGGGGGACTTGTCAGTTTTGAGCCCAAAGCTAACTAAACATTATCCTTTATGCCATTGCCTGGGACATAGAGGACTGGTTTGGAAAGAGTGTGTGTGTGTGTGTGTGTGTGTGTGGTACATGGTCATTGTTCTTGCACTGCCCAAGTGAGAGGGAGTCTGGTAGAGCAGCTGTGGTTAATATTCTGCCTGGTGACCTGACAAGCAGGGCACAGACTCAGCAGGGAGCCTGATCTCACCAGTGTACTCCCCTTAGAGCAGAGCTCCAGGTTTGGGGAGCCCCCTTGGTCCTGGTCCTTGCAGATATTTGACTCAGGGCTGCTATCAGCATGGAGGAGTTGGAGCTCTTATCACCATTAGGAACCCCCAGGGCCAGGTTCAACATTTCCATCATGTCCCCATTCATTTCTCCTCTGTGTTCAGTCAAGGCATCTAATGGCTCATTAAATGATAGTGGAGTATTAAGAGCTTCATGCTGAGGTCTCACCCATTGCCTCAAGTATTATAGACTTTGCAGCGCTAGTCCACTAAGGACCCTGGGAATAGATCGGGGTCTACACCACCCACTGCAGACACCAGGAGTTCAGTTTGTTCCCCGGGATGGCTGAAGGCCACCATTCCACAACGTTTGCCCATTGAGTGTCAGTGAGAGACCAGATGTTGTTCTAGGAGATGAGGATTCAACAGTGACAAGACACCCTCAAGAAACCCTCATCTCATGGAATAAAGTGGACAATAAGCACATAAACAACTAAGTAGGAAATGCAACTCTACTAATTAGTGATTAAAAAGAATATAGAAGGGAACAATATGATCAAGAGCAGTGGCTGCTATACCTGGATCATCAGAGACTGCATCTCTGAGTAAGTGACGTCTTAACAGTGGTCCAGGAGAGACGATACACTTGATTGTTCTCCTCAAGGAGCCATCACCATGGACCGAGGACCTGGCCAGGGTCTAGCTGGATATGGGCCCACGGACATATTCTCCTGCCTTTCCCTAGGGTTGCCCTTGGAGCCCACTCCCTGGGTTTCTACCTGTACTTAGAGTGGACCCTGGAGCACAGCATCACTGGGGAAGTTGTGAGAAATGCAAGTCCTTGGGTCATCCTGAGTCCTACAGATCCTTTGAATCTGAAACTCGGGGCCCAGCAATCTGTCCTAACAAGCCTTCCAGGTGATTCTGGTGTGTGCAAAATTTGAGAACCTGGAGAAACCCTGGTGTAAACCCCAACCTGGCCAGGACTTTGTTCAAGATGCAGTACGCTCCTCCCAGGTCTGTAAGACCACCTTGACCACCCTGGTGGTCTTACTGATACAATGGCTGCCTGTGGGGCTCAAGGCCTAGAATCTCTGGGGACCTCAGATGAAGGTGGTTGATGACTGGGCTAGGAGTAAGAGGCTAACAAAGCTCTCTCTCTCTCTCTGCCAGCAGCACATGTGGATGGAGCAGGAAGAATGTACTGCTGGGGTCATCCTTCTAATTTGGTCAAAAGTATTAGAAGAGGATATGCTCTGGGCCTGGAATAAAGATCCCTGGGAACTTTCCTTGGTAACAGCGGGTGTGCATACCTCTCGTTTTCCGCTGGTCTTTTACTGCCTTGCTGCACCCCCCATCCCCCGTAAGATGTGGTCCACCCCTGACCTGGCCCTTTCTCTGTCATACATCTATGCAATGAACTACAACATCAGTGGGCTCTTGGATGGTAAATCTGGCCCCTTCTTGGCCATTCTGTAACAAACATATGTTTCTAATTGACATAACTCAATAGGAAGGCTGGTAATGACTTTTTACACGATTCCAAAGTCGTAAAGCTACACAAAGAACTTCTGCAGCCTTTGTGTGTTCAGGGCCCTCAGCTGGGGCCACCCCTGTCTGCTCTTGGCAAGTCCACCACCTGCCTTTGTTCCACTGACAGATGCATGTGCCAGGTGCGTGATGACCACGGGACGTGCGCATACACAAAGTCAGCCATTGGACAGGCTGTCCCATGACAGTGGAAACTGTCTGAAGTTTGCCAATTGATAATGAAAAAGTCATTTTCAGTTGACAAATTTGAAGAGTCATCTTCATCCGTGGTCGGCAAACTGTGGCTCTCGAGCCACATGTGGCTCTTTGGCCCCTTGAGTGTGGCTCTTCCACAAAATACCACAAAATACAATGTGCGGGCGCGCACGTACAGTGCGATTGAAACTTCGTGGCCCATGTGCAGTAGTCGGTATTTTGTGGAAGAGCCACACTCAAGGGGCCAAAGAGCCGCATGTGGCTCACGAGCCGCAGTTTGCCGAGCCACAGTTTGCCGATCACTGGGCTAGGTCCACTATAGCCATATCAGATTCTGTCTCCTCCCCTTAGAATTGTAACCATGCCAAAGCCACACACACATGTGCACACACATGCACATGTATGCATATACTCACGTAGAGTTTCTGCTCCTATCCTCTCCTCCTCCAGGGACCAGCTTGTCATGTTGATTTATGCCGCAAAAGACTGTGCCTCCTAAACAGATGCCCTGGATGGACGCCAAGATGGCCTGCAATTCCTCCCAGGGGACACCCTCCTCTGCATTGGACACCTAGGATAGGGTGGTGGTGGAGGTCAAGAAGGCCCCTGCCAGAAGTGCATGCGAGGCTTAGGAGAGGAGAGAGAGGGCTGGGGCCTTGTCCAGGGTGCTCACCTTAGAAGGCCCAGAGCCTGCCCCTGTGGAGAGGCTGGCGGGGGGGGGGAGGGAGGTAGGGATGGTGCTCTGCTAAACCCAGTGGTGCTGATAGGAAGGGTCTGCCTCTCTCAGGACAGACCCTCTCTCTGCACAGCTGAGATTAATTGGGACAACATGTGGCCACATAGACTAGCTGAAGCATGTCCATTCTTAGAAGTAAGGCCACATATAGCAGCAAGACACAGGTTAGACCTTTAGAGATGAAAGTGACCTTGAATCAAGTCCATCCGAAGTTTGGTGACTTCCTCAAGACCATATAGCCAGGTAGAAGCAGGGCCAGGAGAGCAATTGGGTTTTCTGAGCCCAGACCAATGTTCTTGCCTCTCTTCAAAGTTGTCTCTATTGTTTGTGCCTGAACATTCAAGAAGTGCAGGGTCTGTGTGTCCAGGTTCTGGGATGCAGAGTTCTGCTTAGTCTGTCTCCAGAGCCTGTGCCCTCAGCTCCTGGGCACGGTGCCACCTTCCCTGGCATTCCTTCATGGCTTTGCCAGAATGGGCAAGGAGATGGCAGCTTGGATGGCGGCCCTGGTCTGAGGACTTGCCAGTGCAGGGTATCTAAAAAGGCAGCGATTCATGCCCAGCCAGAAAGAGTGAAGAGCCCAGCACTCCAAGGCCCTATTCAACGTCGTGAGGTTTCCATGCTGGAGCCAGATTGCCCCCCACCCCCACCATGTGAAGAAGAAAGGAAGGGATCCAGTATTTAAATGGGATACTTGCATCACACTGCTCGAAGAGGTGAGAACGCTGACTGTACTTTTGGCAAAGTGTTACTTCTTCAAATTCCATTTTTGTACTGTTTTTAGGGGAGGGTTTCAAAGTACTAGATGCTGAACATTTGGAAGTGCAAAGAAGCAGGAAAAAAATTCCCACAAATCCCACTAACCAGAGGCACTTTTTCTTCTGGTCTTTCATCTGTGAACTTTTTTCCCCCTAGAACTGAGATTATGAAGCAGAGATGATGCAGGATGGTACTTTTTCTCCCCACTTGACATTATATATCATAAGTATTTCCTCCATGTTATTTTCTTGCAAAAGACACATACCATGGATAATTTAACCATTCCTTGAGTATTAGAAATTGAAGTTACTTTAATTTTTTTCTATTATAAGTACACCGAGATGAACATCTTTGTGAGCAAGTCTTGGTGCTCATCTGTGATTATTTCTGTACATTGAATCCTCTAAAAGGAATTATCGAGTCAGAGATGAACATTTGAAATCTCCTGAAATGTGTTGCTTGTAGATGTAGAGTATAACTCCCATTGTGAGTTAAATTCTCTTCTCCTGAAATGGCTTTCTTCTTTTGTACTTTTAGACACCTGAGCTCTGAGCGTTTGTTCTTTAGTTCATGTCATGGTC